AATAATGTTTTCTCGATTGGGTCCAGATATAGTTTTACGTCTTTTTGCACATTTAATTTTTGAACGAAGAATTTTATTTATTTCATCAAAACTTTTTCATTTAACTGGTTAGTTTAATGCTCAATGAAAATTTATTTTTATAAGTTTTGTTTTCTTAGCATGTGCTTGTGGATGTTTATATTTAATTAATCCACTACATTGGTAAGAATCAAATTTGTTTAAAAACAAAAAGAAAAAAAAAATTATTTTCTCTTTTGATTTAGGCAAAGTATTTTTTTACCAATTCTTCCCGAATCTATGGCATGGACAGCACAATGTACAGCACCATATATTATTGGAATACATTCAAGTATTTATTCGAGAATGAATAAAAAAGAGTTAGGTGATGTAGTAATAGTAAATATTGATGATAGAAGAATTGAATCTCAATATGACGATTTGAATTTATTTCCTAAACATCTGATACGTAATATGAAAAAAGATATTCAACCATCATCACAATTTATTGAAGATCACTTAGCAAGAGTTTTTCTTCGAGCTATGGCATTTATTCTTGGTTAGTAAGACATATTTTTGATTCATAAGTGATTTAGATTATGATTAATAGGCGATTACGCAAGTGGATTTGTAATAAAAAATGAACAATTAGATTTTGATAGAAATGTTTATTTGAAACAATATCTTAAATCTGATATGTATTTGTTTATGTCCTCTGTCGTTAATACACAAATGTTTGAACAAGTAATAAAGAAGAAAAACATTTTTTTTTAATGTTATATTTCATTATTGTTAATTTAAGTTTTCTCGCCATCGAACTTATGTACAACTTAATCCTGATATTGATATTGATGAATTTGATATTGAAGTAAAAAATTTTGAACAAAATCAACAATTGAAAAAAGTAAGTCGTACGAAAAAAAAACAAAACTCAATACGTTTCAGAGAGTATACTAGATCTATTTGTGATGCAAGTTCTTTTTTTCTTATCAATCACTTATTGATAGTTAGAAAAATACACAGCTGTCAACAACAGAGACATTTGATGAAAAAAATGAAAGTTAGATATTTTGCGATTTGAATTATTTTTCATATGTTTGGGCAAGTGGCCGAATTTTATGTTTAAAAACATTATTTCAAAGATGACAAAAAAAATCTACGAAATAAATCGTCGAAGTATTGCTCTATCATTCTATATGAAAAAATGTATTTTAACAGTTTTCGTGTCGGGAAAAGTATGAAAGCTTTCTAAACTAAAGGTTGTCTAAAAAGTCATGTTTTGTATAGTCACTTAGCATAAAGCTGCATAAATCGTTCTTGAGTAGAAATCAGCATAACTCACAATCCCGATCTGTTTGAAAATTCAGCTGATACTCTTCTTTGAGAATCTTGTAACTAAATCTAATATATCATATCAGTGGATGATTTGAATAAAGTGAGACTAACAACAGCAAGAGTATACCGCAAGAAATGTATAGTACCTAGTCTGTTAAAAGTCTCAAGTGAATCAGTATCAAAGAATGACGAATTCATCTAATCCATTCGTGATTTCATCATTTAGTTTGTGAAGAACATGAGTCAAGTTGTTCTTCATCGAATCAAAATATTTCATGCTTTTATTTTCATTTTGCTCGTTAAATAAACGAAAATTTTAATAACATGAGTCGATACATTTCTGCATATTACCGACATGACTAGGTTGCTTTGTAACAGATCGCACTAATGCAAGCTATAGAACTTTCGTGAGCTATGGTCACGCTGAACTCTACTGTGGAATGTAAAATGCAGGTTTAAAAAAAATACCTTTGTTTTTAAAGGTATTACGCGTTCTTTTGTCTCAGAAATACTTCAAAAGAAAAATAAAGATAGATTTGGAATCAGCACAACACGCTTCATCAAATAATGTGTCATTTGTTACTTTTCAAAATGAAAATGCTTTCCAGCAAGATTTTCCGATGAGAATTTTCTCATGCATTTGACATCGAAAATCTTCTTTAACGAATTTTACTTTTTTCCTTATCATTTTATTTATTGAGTGATGGAAACGAATACTTCTATGAAAAAAGTTCATTTTTGACAGAAAATAAGCCGTTTCTACGTGCTCTATAGACTTTGCTCATTGTGAGATATGCGTAATGTTTATAACAAAATAATACTATTATAGATGCGAAAATATATGACAGGTTGATATTTTTTTAAATAACTTTCGATAGGAACACGATACGGACCTATAAATTTTACTGGTTAAAAGAGAACATTGGGCAGCATCAAATTAGCTCAAATCTGATTGATCCAGCAGTTGATCAATCACATAAGGTTTTTACGAGAAGATTTTGAAAATGGTTGTCAAGAAAACTGTCACATTGAGTTTCCATTTATGTTGTAATTATTTGATAGAAAAAGCTGTTCTTTGTCGGTCCATGCAAAGCTGACGTCTCCTACATGTTCTGTTAAAGAGTTATATGGATTTTCTGGGAATCTCGATTTCGGTCTAATAATCTTGAAGTACTTTGAAAAATATCAAAACAAGGATAATTCATCACCATGAGTCGAATGATAATGTTTGTTTTCAAACTCTAACCGGTTCCAAGCCATTATAATAAGATTTTATTATAATGGCTTGGAACCGGTTAGAAAATGAAAACAAACATTATCATTCGACTCATGGTGATGAATTATTCTTTTCTTGGACTGTTTCTGAATGCTCCACGATCATGAGACCGAAATCGGGATCGTTGAAAAACCCTTATAACTGTTAAATAGAACATGTTACAGTCGCTAGCTTTACATGGATCGAAAAAGAACATTTTTTCTCTGTCGAATAATCCCAACATGAGTCGAAATACTCTGGGTTAATTTTCTGGAAAATGGCTTTCAACATCTCCCACAAAAACTTGCTAGTTCAGTCAATCACTGAAACAAGAAAAATTGAACTGATTGAATGCTCCCCGACGTCCTTTTTAACCCTTTGAGGACGGGAAGCCTATATATAGGCAACGACTCTCTATCGACTTGTAACGCACTTGAATATGTCTCTCATTATATAGCGGTGATCTACATTTAGTGCAGACTATGAACTCTTCACCACCGATGTGATGCTACACCACCATATGTATTGTATCCTGATACACCTTCTTTCTAGCAAAGATATTATTTCGAAGTTTCGGGGACGTGATCTTTTTGAAAAGTAATCCCGTCCTCAAAGGGTTAAATAATGAGATTCATAGGTCTTTATCTTGTTTCTATATAAAGCGATTCAAAAAACATTGATTTGTCTTATAACAATGCAATACGACGGCGAGAGAAGAAAATAATAAGGCTATTATCTATTTAGAGGAAAAAATCCATTCATTTGTCTGTGCATGAATTTTAGTAATTACAAAAGAAATGATGGGAAAATAAAACACTTTCGGGTTTTGATAGCTATAAAATACGATAACAAAATACGAATATAATTAGTCCTTAGTGTAAGAAAAAAACTGAAATTTTAATGAATAATCAATTTTTCTTCTTTTAGCCTAATGTCAACAAAAAAATTTACAAAACTTCGGATAAAGTAAGTTACATAGCATGTGAAAGATAGCATGATTGAAAATCCGAATACTAATATATTCAAAAGCAAAACACTTATTCGCGAATAAAACGAATAATGTTTTATCTAAATGTTTCAATTTCCTTTTTGGTTGTGTTGTTCAATCATATCAATTCAATGATTAAAAATAAAAGATTTTTCTCTAGACTACCAATCCTTTTATTGAACAAATGCAAACTATAACTGCAAAATTACAACCTGTGGTAAGCTACAACACATAGTAAACAAGTGTTTGATAAACATTTTTCTTGTAGATAAATAAACCGGAAGAAAGACTTGCAAATGAAGGTTCATCCGTAAAAACTTCTTTCACGTTATCAGATGTAAGCTGTTTATAATTTCACAGAAAAACACAGAAAAAAAAAATCATTTCTATTGAATGTTTATTCTTCTAAATTATTTTTATTCAGGTACATTCAAATCAGCAAACAATTCAACAGGTAAAATAAATGCAAAAAAAACAACTTTTCCATAATTTTTATATTTATATTCTTTCAGTCAAATTCATCAAATTTTTCAAATGATAAGTAAGAAAAGACAAAGGCAACCCTCTTCTATCGAATCATATTGAAATATTTAATAGATCATCTTTATTATTTCATTTTTCAACTCCTGAATCTGATCAAGATAAAAGCAATCAATTAATCGATTGCAATATTGATGAAGTACAATTAAATTTTTATTTAATTTTTTGATATTTTTCATTTATTTAGAATCCATTATTACCATCTCCTATGGAATTAAATGTAAATAAAATATCTGAAACTGCTCGTTCTACAACATTACAAATAAATTCAAAAATACAACAATTACAAAATGAACTTCAATATAAACTTCAAACATTTAATAATAAACCTATTAATCCACATGATGAATATGATGAAAAACAAAATGATATCAGTAAACTTATTGAACAATTTGATCCATTTAATAATTCAAATAATGTAAATAAAACAAAACAAACGACATTTCATTCAGATATAGATAGATCTAACCGTCACTCATCGATTTCTGAAACAATACCACCAAATTATGTGAATAATATGCTTAGCAACATTCAACTTAATTCAAAACCTAATAATTCTGCTCAACCAAATTCTTATTCATCATCAGAGACAAATGGATCAAATTTAATTGATTTGGATTAAATGTTTTGTGTGTCGAAACAAAAATATTCTGTTGTGTTTGATAAGTTTGTCGTGTATTATTTGTTTTAATTAAGAAGCATATAAAAAATTATTTTTGGTTTCGTTTTCTGTAAATGTGTCAGAAGAATAAATTTATTTTTCTATTTCAGAATAGAAATGAATATTATTTTGATAATTTTTTTTCTATTTTAGACCCGTGGTCTCATCTTTTCTCATGTCATTCCGTTTTGCCATTCCGAACAATCGTCAAATTAAAACAATAAATGACAAGCAATAATAAACAAACCACAAACATGAACGATTCATCGATTAATCCGATTTTATTATCTTCAGCAGCTCATCTCGAAAATGTTGAACAACTTATAAAAAATCTCGAAAAACATACACTCGATATAGATAATTTTGATGAAATATTAAGTGATCGTAATCGACAAGAACTTATAACAAAATCATTTTCAGCTGTTACCTCACAAACAATGGCTATTGATGATATATCAGATGATAATTTTCTAGTTAAAAGTATTTCATTAACAAATAATGCAAATACTACAGGTGGTTATAAGGATGAAAATTTATCTATGGATAGTCTTTGGAATCACCGTGATTTATTCGAAAATGAAGATATGAAAAAACAACAAACACCACCAGCTAATGATCAAAGTTTATATAATGATCAAGAAGGTGGTTTTACATGGGACGATCAATATGATACACGAGCTAATTATCGTTTAACATTTAGTACTGATAAACCACCACAAATTGAATCAAAAACAGATAGATCTCATCGACTTAAACATCATCATCGTCATCAACATCATCACAAACATCGACTAGAGTAAATTAAAATTTTCAATTCGAAAATAAATTTTGAAACTATATATTCTTTTTAGTTCACAATCAAGTTCAACTTATTCTGATGATGGTATATCTCCAAATGTAGCAAATCATATGAATGATTGGTCAATGCGTTCATCATTCAATGCATTAGAACAATCTATTGAACAACGTGAAAATAAAACACCAATACCACCAACAATGGATCAACAAGCAACATTTGTTCGTTCACAATCTCATCCAACTTCATTTTCTCCTCAACAACAATTACCAAATAATAATAACTCACCAAATTCATCAACATCTTCATCATCATCAGCATCATGGAGACGTATGAAAGAAAGTCAACGAACAACATCTGGTATGGAACCAAAAGAAACTCGACCACCATCACCATTAAGTCTTTATAAAATCTTTCAACAAAAATCACAATTGGCTACATCATCTTCATCACCACGTAGTGCTTTTCAATATTATCGGCAACAAAGTGATTCAACGGTTCCGAATAATATTGATAGCATGACAATATCAGGTGAAAAAATGATAACAGAAAAACCGAAATCATCTCATTATCAGAAAAGACAAACTCATACAGATAGACCATCATCACAAACAAATTCTAGTACTGATCAAGCGATACAAACATCTATTATATTAGATTCTTCATCAAACAGTCCAATGAACAGTCGTTTTCAACCTACACCATCAATAAATTATCTCCAGACAGTTATGGCATCAAACTCGCCTCATCATCTTGCCGTTCCTCCACGTCCATCACCAGTACCTATCTCATCATCATCTATTCATAAATCTCTTCCTGATCTTGCTTTTATTTCTCAATATTCAAAAGAATTACCTCGATCTCGTACTACATCACCCTTACCACCAACATCAACTCCAGCTAATCCTTCACTTCCTATCAATACTAACTATATGATATCATCTCCAACAGTAACTCAACAACAACAAAAACAAGAAAGTGAACGACCACGTACCCTTAAATCAATAAAACGTTATAAAAACAGTAAACATTCAACTGAACCTTTAGGGGTTTTTTATAGTCCACAACTCCGTAAGACATTTGCCGCCGTGCCAGCATCAGCAGTTATTAATGGATCAAATGAAGCGCCGACAATAATTAAAATGAAATTACCACCACCTTCATCATTTCCTAAAGGACAACAACAAACATCAAACCTTAAATCTTGTCTGAAATATGGACCAAGAGCGAATTCATGTGATATTCAAGCTATGTTGCAAGACAGAATATCACCAGCACCTGCATTAACTATTCCTCAACCAACAAGAGATAAGGTGAACAAAGATGTTTTGAGCTTTTATGAAAGTAGTTCGAATTCTATGGCAAATTTCTACAAATATATTTGTTATATTTTGAAATATGATCTGAAAAAAGTGTTGAAGTACATAGAGTAGAAAGTTGTATGTACAGACTGCAATGAACACTATCCAGAGATCATAACATACGTTGTTGATGTACGATCGCCAACTATATTTCAATAACAGCTCGCTAGAATATATCGCTGCGATTAGCAACAGCAACTACATCGTGTTTCATATCTTAATTCAGTAGAGATTGAATTAATAGATGTTTTTATTTTAGGATTCATCATCTCCTACAACAAAACGTCGTTGTTCAGAAGCTGATGTTCAAGTAGGTCGTCCTAATTATCTTTGGCCATCGAACATGCCCAGTACTTGTTCATCAAATAATATAAATAATTATGTTTTACAAGATTTTTCTCATGAACGTTGTTCTGATCATGATCTAACATCATTACAACAACAAAATCAAACAAAAAAAAGTGTTAGTTTTTCAGACAATATTGCTAAACATCTTATTTCACCATGTAATCCAGCAATTCAATTTGATCCAGCACCAGCACAACTTGCTTTCAATGATAATACAACATCAAATAATGATAATCTTGCTGTAGCATTACATGGAAATCAAGAAAATTTAACAAGAAAAACAACATTACGTTATGGTGAAATGCGTCGATGTCAAAGTAAGTTATATCAAGAATATTTATTTTGTCGGATTTAAATGAGAAATTTTAATTTTTGTTTTTTTTAGCTGATATTATTGTTGTCGATCGTATTCATCATTTGCATTCATTTACTGAAAGTCCACCAAATGAATTTCGTTTACGAGAAACTGATAGTCTTGCCCCAGAACAAGAAGATGAAGATGATCAAGCTATTATGGAAAAAACTCATGTGAATATTATACCAACTGTCGTTGAATCTTCTCTAACACCTGTCATTATTGATACTAATGAATCCAATCGAACAATGGAAAAAATGACATCTTCAAATGATAAAGAAAATACAATTCCTGAACAAGCATTAAGTATGAATGTATCAACAACAACATTAATTGAAACAAATGATCCATTTCTTGATGGTAGAAAAAAAAACAAATTTAATTGATTATCTTTAAATCATTTATTCTATTTAGGTCTTTTAGAAAGAGTTAGTAGTATTGTAAAGCGTATATTCGAAATAAAAAGATCAGGAAAAGTAAAAGTATTCTTATGCAATTAATTATTAACTGTTTGCTTTTTTTTGCCTTAGACATTTTTTCTTACTAATGAAAATAATATTCAGTTTGATACATTACTTAAAAATGACTTATGTATAACTCTGCAAAACATTCTTGAACATGGTCTTAAATCACAACGACGAGATCTTCCATTAGTCAAACAAATTAATTTGTGGAAAATAATTGAAACATCGATTGATCATGGTAAATAAATAAATACTTAATTAAAAATTTTAATTTGTATTTTTTTTTCTTTCTTCTAGGACAAGCTCTTCAAGTATTTTATGAAGCTAAACAAATTGCTCAGAATGCTTCAGTGTATTGGCCTTATAAATTTCAAGCATTTATTTTTGCACTATTAAAGTAAACAATCTTTTTTCTGTTCGTTATGTATTTTTTGTATTCTAGTAAAAATGAACTCATTAATTGGCTTTATCATTTTATGAAACAAAAAGAAATTCTTCAGCGTTATTATCAATTGCCTGATGCTCTAATGCTAACATTTACTCCAATAACATTTAATTTATTTGATCGTATAATGGCTCAATTAGAAAAACTTTCTCCACTTGCTTTTCGTTTAGTTTATAAGCCCGAAGCTATTCCAGCAAACATTGAAGAACAATTAAATACATCTACAATTAGTATACAGTCAACTAAAAGTAGTGCACGAGATTGGGTTATGACTGTGTCAAGACGTGCATCAAGAAATTTGACACAACCAATTGTTCAACCCGATAATATCACTACTGCTACTGCTGCTACTACAAACACAACTGCTGAACCAACTGGTACATTACGTTCGACATTATCGCGTAAAATAAATTCTTTATTTACAAAAACAAATCCAACACAACCACAACGAAAAACGTCTTCTGCAGTCACTGCAAAATTACCAACTTCTAAACCACAGACAGTAAGAACACAGTCGCCAGCAGCAGCCGCAGCAGCACCTCCAGTACGTCGACAACGTCCATCAAATGCATTTGTGAATGCAACAGCTGCAGCAACAACAAATAAACCAGTCATTGTTTCGAGTCCAAAATTAAGTAATGGAAATAGAACAGGTTCAATAAGACGAGGTATTTCACCATCTGTTGTTATTGCACCATCACCACCACCGACATTAAATACTACTGGAACAACACCAACAACTACGACAGCATTCCAATCGAAAATTCCACGTCCATCCTTAAATGTTGATAAACCGAAATCGGCCCGGTATCGATCTACGGCACCTCCGCCCAAATAAATTCAAGTTTTTTTTCATTCGGAAAGATCTGAACCTATACAAACAATGTGATTGCTTTTTTTTCTTCTGCTTTTTCTTGCTTATTATTCATCATCATTCCATATTTTATCGTGCACATATTCAAGTCCGAACATTGTGGGTTGCTATTCTCGTTTGTGTTTTTACACTATGTTGACTTAGTATGCGTGTTTGTCTATTTATAAGTACTCGAATTTTAATAATAACTCGATAAAAATTACTTTCATTTTATGCATGATAATAATGACGTCATCGAAAAAGCGACACTATCGCATCATATTTGAGCATGAATAATCTATTTGAATAAACCAATGAAAGACGATATAGTTATTTTAGATTGTTTAATAATCATTATGGCAGAAGGAGGTCCTCCAGCAGCAGCTGCTGCATCTTCTTATTCGAACAGTGATGTCAATGAACAATTTCTTAAGAGTTTAATGGAAATGGGTATTCATCGGGACGATGCTCGACAGGTTCTTGCTTTTTGTTAGTTTCTTATTTTCGTCAGGAAGATTTCAATTTCAGGCTTTGAGAATTGTTAATAATCGAAGTTTGGAAGATGCATTGGCAGTTGTTTTTGGTGAATCGCCTTCTTTTTCTGCAGAGTCTGTGACATCAACTAATGGAGCTAGTATAGAACAGGCTACTCAAGTTTCTTATGAATCGGTAGGTTGATATTTATATTTCTTTAAAAATATTACTTAATAAAGTCTCAACCTTTTCGAATGATATCCGAAATCCTTACCACAGACAGATACTTAAAATAAAGAGGTAGATATTCGAGGAAATAAGTTTTAAACAATGTTTCCGCAGTTTTTCAGAAAACTTTGATTTTCCATAATACTGCATCGGGCCTGCTTACGACCTTTGCTAACTTTATCCTAATGGGAGAAAACTTCGACCGTGAGTACTTGGAATAATTCTCAATAGGTAAAATTAGCAGTTTTTGTTTTTGATCTTCCTCGTCGAATTTATAGAGCCCTGAATGCCAATACCCTGCTTGGGGATCTAACATTTTACGTACTTCTTTTAGCGCGTTCAGACAAGTTTAGACAGGAGCAGTAACCAGATCCAATGCGATCTTATGGAAAACCAGAGGTTCTCAAAAAACTCCCGAAAACTTTGTTTCATACATTTCTTCTCGAATATGTGTTCTTTGCCTTATGTGCTGTGTCTGTGGTAAAGATCTCATATGAATCAGTACCCTTAAGGCTCAAAAATCATTCTTATAAAAATCATGAATTATCCAATAATCACACGTTATCAATATTTTTCTACTGTATGTCGATGTTTTTTTCATCTACGAAGAAACATTCGATATGGCTATTATTGAATATTGCTGCTAAACTTCTTGCTTTTCTTTATATAGCTGTTTACATAATCATTATTATGATGTCCATATGAGAAAAAAAAACAAGAAAAGTACTACTTTTTTTTCTATTATCACTTCCGTTATCTAGAAGACAAAAAGAATTAACTTTTCATAGTCGAAAAACATAACATCATTGAATTGTCTTTTAAAGATCAAATTTAAATACATGATCGCTCTATCCATTAAAATAGTATTAACTAACATATTTCATGAATTAGATTTAATTGTAGATATAATTTATTTTTTCTTCAGAATGTAATACCAACTGATAGTGATACAACTGATCGAAACATGATGACCTATAAAATGTTATTTATTGTTAATGGTTCACTTTCTATGAGTTCAGGAAAGATTGCAGCACAAGTTGCGCATTCTGCAATTGATTTATATCAACAAATTCTTGATCGACGTTTGATGGCTATAAATTTTTGGCGTATTAGTGGACAAAGAAAAATCGTCGTTCGTGGTGATTCATCTGAAGAATTACTTGATATTGAACAGCGTGCATCTATAAATAAATCCGTTGTGACATCAATTATTCGTGATGCTGGTCGAACTGAAATCGCCAGTGGATCAATTACATGTCTTGGCCTTTTTGGTACTGATAGTCAATTAGATCCAATAACGGGTCATTTAAAATTAATGAATGATTGTTTAAAATGTAGTGGTACCAATATTCCACAACAAAAATCGAAGAAAAAGAAACAAGATATGGAATCACAGCCACCACCACCGACGGATGCAGATGATGCATCGAATACTCAATGAAATATGATTATTGGTTTTTTTTAATACTTATATTCCAGATCAAATCAAAGAATATAAAATTCTTGAAGTAAATCAATAGTAAATTGCTATTACTTGAATGTATGTAAAGCAAATTTTATTGAAATAGAACAATGTTCGAAAAACCTTCAAGTCTTAAAATTAAAAATGCATAATAAAATTTCGAAAAGATAAAATTGAATTATTGTTCGATTTTCACAAGTCGTTATCATATTTGTTCGTCAAGAAAGATAATTCTTAGAACAATTATATATATGAGAATGAAGATTCTTTGTCTCAAGACAATAAAAATGTTCAATGAAATAATTCAGATCCAAAATTGTTTTAAAAACAATTTAATAATTTCATGATTAATAAATGCTTCGAGGCGGTAATATTGAAAATATGTCTTCCCTCTTATATATATATATATATATATATATATATATATATATATATGTGAAATTTAAGTCATAAATTCACATGATGATGTATTTTGTATGTGATCTGTGATCGAATGATGAAATGAAAAAAGAAAAGTGAAAAACGACTACGTTGTGTTTTAAATATTGACGTCTCAAGAGAGGTCATCAGGTTCAAAATTTAGGGAATCGAACTCGCGGGGATTCTACATCTCTAAATCAAGATGTATTTTTTTAAAGTAACTTTTCAAAGGTTTATCAAGATTATAATCCTTGCATAAATTTATGCCAAGAAGTATTATTTATATTAGAGTACAACTGTATTCTGATATTTCGTGTCTATCGTCAGTAATTCAAAAATCAAGACATTATTACAACTATGTCTGAAATTTAACATATTAGCACTTAGACAATTAATAATACTGCATTTCAACTAACAAGGGAAATCTCCCAATTGATAAGTCACTTTTGAGTCAAGACTAAGTGCATTATGTAGACCGAAATGATGTATAAATATCGTGAAAGAGTTCGTACGATGAACTTATTACTCTGAAGCTAATGCACTTTACAGTATTTTTTTGAATACATGTTGTAGTTCTACTCAGGAGCCGTGGGAAAACTGATTTTCAAATTTCATCTTAAAAATTTGCATAGAGATCGGTCTTAACGAGAATAGTTTCTTGTGAAGGTCTCGGATCTTTTTGTTGTTTCAATCCTATTTACAATACAGCTATAGTAAAAGCGTGTCTTTTATATCGTCGTTTACCTTGACAGATTCGATCATCTTATTTCAGTCAAGTGTAAATTGGAAAATCTCTTTTTCTAGTATTCTGGAAGTGGGTCACGGTATTCATTTACGAGATACCGTAAAAAATGTGATATACCCACAGCGATAACCTAAGGGCACGAATTTTTGTCAGGATATTCATAGCCCATTTGAAGCTACATAATGCATGTAGTTTCGACTCAAATGCATTTTATCAGTTGAAAGAGTTCTCTGGTGAGTATTTTTCATCTCCGAATGTATTAATATCCAAGACTTGTATAGGCCAATCTGGAACTGATATGCATATCTCATTCTATGATGACCTATGCCAAGGCTTAGTACATTGCAAAAGAAAAACAATTGTGAGAACTTGTCAATTATCATGAATGACTTTTGAATGATTTGATTCTTTTAATGAGAAGAGAAGGATGTCTTTGAATTTTTTCTATTGATCGATTAGAGTAATGATCTACGTGTTTAATCAAATTTCTTTGGTTTGTACTCTTAATTCACAATATCGAAAAAAAATCTTTCAGTAACTTTTTAGTGTTAATCTTATCTATCATTCTTTTTTTGTTGTCTTTCGTTATTTAATCTCTTGCCAATATGTTCTACATATAGCTCAATAAGTCAAAGTAATCTCTTAGTTCATTGTTGATAAAACGTGTCAAACAACGCTGTAGGATTATCAATAGTAGAGAGTGCATATATACCTTCTTTCTTTTAACAGGAAAAAAACAAAGACACATAATTTTCAATAAGAAAAAATTATGCCTCTTCTCATATGTTTATCATTGATTTAAAAACTCAATTATATAACGATGACAACATAATCAAAAGAGAATGTGTTTTTGTCATTGTTCATCATTTAAGTTCAAAACAGGATAATCAATTGATGATTGCAAAAAAAAAACCAATTTGTATGAATGAAAAGATCTAAATGACAGCACGTTCGATGTATCATCTAAATCCGAGAAAATGTTATCGAATGATTTTAATTGCACAACGGATTTGTGTAATAAAGAATAAGAAGAGCAAAAAAATAAAAATAAAAACATATACACATACAAGGAGAAAGATCACTTAGTGATTTTAAAAAATGCATCCATATGCATCAATCTATTATTCATCATTTTCATCTTTTGTCAATCCATTGATGTCATCTGTAAGTGCTAGTGTAACACCATTTTTTCATGGATCACCTGACCGATTTACAGGTATTGTGTTTGCGCTTTTTTGATTCCATTAGTTTTTTTGAATGAATCCAAATACATAATAGAATTTCTTCTTGATTCTCGACATCCACGCAAACAACGTCGTTCTCGTACAGCTTTTACCAGTCAACAATTACAAACATTAGAAAGATGTTTTGTTAAAACTCATTATCCTGATATTGTTATGAGAGAAAAACTTGCTCTCTTTACTAATTTACCTGAAGCTCGTGTACAAGTAAGATTATGTCAAATTGAACTATTTTAAAGATTGTTTTTTCCTATTTTAGGTATGGTTTAAAAATCGTCGAGCAAAATATCGAAAAAAACAAAAAATACTTATTGATCAATCGTCAAAAAATCGTACTGCCGGTATGAATGATGATAATTTAAGTGACTGCTCAAATTCAAATGACAATACACATTTGATCATATCTAATCATACA